CTATTGGTTGCTGCTGCCCATGTCCAGGTTTAGCCTTCCCCACTTACCTTGGGACCTAGATGTTAATCATCCACAGATCCATCAAGAAGTTTAGTGACCTGGAGGTTCTTACTTAAATCAAGTTGACACATCACAATTGATTCACAAAATCTTGGTTAAGTAGTCAACAAATAACATTAAGAGGGGCCAGGGAGATGGCTCAGCAGAATAAGTGCTTGCCTGACAAGCTCAAGGCCCTGAATTCAATCCCCAGTTATGAAAAAAAAATAAAATAAATTTAAGAAATTAGTGGTTTATTTATTTATTTTTGGTGGAACCAGGGATTGAACTCAGGACCTTGTGCTTGCCAGGAAAGTGCTTATTCTACTGAACCATCTCCCCAGCCCTAAATTAGTGGTTTATAAACAAACTTTAGTGTATTTTCTAGTGAACAATTTTAAGACAAACTAACTAGGTTTTATTTTTTTGAAGGGGTGGCAAGGGGGAAAATTTGAGGGAGAGCCAGGTTGCTAGCTTATTTTTCATGCAAAATAAATCAGCAATGTATATGAGATTTAAATAGATGACAGTGAACCAAATGGGCAGAAAACATGAATGAATCCTTTCACAATCTTAGCACTCACCTCCAATAAGTTACTACAGTAAGTGCTTTAAATAGAATAACAAATTCCTCACAATAATAGAACTATCATGACCTATATTTGAGGCAAAAATGGGTTAAATGTCTTGTCTAAGGCTGTAAAGCCAGTAAGGAGAAAAGAAATGTGGCCTGGGAGATAGTTCAGTAGAATAAGTGCTTGCCAGGCAAGCACAAGTGCCTGAGTTCAATCCCCAGTTCTTCAAAAAAAAAAAAAAAAAAAGGAGAAATGATCTGCCCCTCCACAGTGTGTGCTGACATGCTACTTTGCTTCATGATAAATGAATACATGTCATTCTTCATCCACATCCTGTGTATGTACACAAATGGCAGTTGAGCCTTTGGGTTTCTGTTATTATTATTATTATTGTTTATTTTTTGGTCTTTCTTAAGACAGGGTCTTGCTATGTAGTGCAGGCTGGCCTGGAGCTCACTTTGTAGCACAGGCTGGCCTCAAGCTCAAAACAATCCTGCCTCAGCCTTCTGAGGGTTGGGGTGTGTGTGACCATGCCCAGCTAAGCTTCTGGTTTTCAAAACAGCATCAAGTTAAAAATAAACTAAAAAAATAAACTATTTTATGATAATAAAATAGTCATAACATATATTACAGTCATGGTATTGTAATATTTTTAATACAAAAAAGAACTTACACTTACTTATAATTGAACAATTAGAAGTAAAAGAAGAGACACAGCCAGTTATCTTGAAAAAAAAATACCAAAAAGCTTATGTATGATTCCACTTTTAAAATGCAAGTAAAAAATAATATTTATGTCAAATCTTAAAATATTTAATAGTGCTTAATGTTTTGACCACTTTGAATAAACATAACCAAAGCTTTATAGTTGGAAGTATAAACTGGTAGTTTTTCAATGGTAATTTGGCAATAACCATCAAGAAGTTCAATGTGCATTATTTGATACATTAATTCTACATCTGAGTAACTATCACATAGATATGTAAGTGGAAAAAGACATGTAAGCGCAAGAATATTCATAGAATCAGTGTTTATAACGGCTACTGAGAGTAAACAACTGTATCTTTAAGGGCACTATAAATTCCAGGGTTTTTTTTTTTTTCATAAAAAACTTTCTTGATGAAGAGAACAGTGCATTGAGTTATGTTCTTGTGCAAACACTACCTCAACATGAAATAGCACTTTGAGGACCGGGGAGATGGCTCAGTAGAATACGCACTAGCCTGGCAAGTACAAGGGTCTGAGTTCTATCCTCGGTTCCGCCAAAAAAAAAAAAAAAAAAAAAGGAACTTTGAGTGGTGCTAGTATAATAACTAAAAAGTGGAAATACTCAAAAAGTCCATCAATGAGCATTTACTAAATAAATAGACTCAAAATCAATTCTTATGTGTTCATTTAAAATGATAAAATCTGGGGCCGGGGAGATGGCTCAGTGGAATAAGCGCTTCCCTGGCAAGAGGGCCTGAGTTCAATCCCCGTGTTCCACCAAAAAAAAAAAAAAAAAAAAAAAAAAAGATAAAATCTACACATACTGATAAAAATATGTGTATAATATAATGAAAAATTATTACAGTGCAGTTACAAATATAGTAATAACTACAAGATAAAAAACTACAAGTTTGTATACATGTTAAATATTGTATATGAGAGATAATGCTTATTGTGGTTATGGGTGAAGTTTGAGAACGTTGTTAAGTGAGATAAGCCAGGCACAGAACACAAAAGCACATGCTCTCACTTGAGCATGGCATCTAAATGGTGGCTGGAGACTTGGGGGTGGCAGGAGAGGGAGATGGTGGTCAAAGGAACAAACGTAAAATTAAACAAAATGAGTGAGTTCTAGAAACCAACTGCAACTGCAGTAAAGAGTACCGTATTGTATGCTTCCATGTAGAAAGAAGATAAGATTTTTAATATTTTCCCACAAAGAAATGAAGTTGGAGGTAATAATATGCTAACCACTTAGCATATCTAGGTCATAGATATGCTAATTCTGATCCTTCCATAATTTTCCACAATATATACATATATAAAAACATCACTTCGCACCTCTTGATTTTGTATAATTATCATCTAGCAACAAAAATAAAATGAAACCTTAGAACATGAATGCTCACACATCAAACTTTTGCAGGACAAATTTCTGAAAACTGACTTTGGGATTAAATTTGTTTTTGAAGACAAACAAACATAATTTTTACCTGGGGGTTAGGGGAGGGAGTCATTTGTGTAAAGATATAAGAACATACTAGCTCGCTAGCTGTTTTTCCCAAACTTGGAAATCTTTGCATTTCACTTTAAGAAAACAAACAAACAAACAAACAAACAAACAAAAACAAACCTTACTGTAGTCAGTGCATATATCTACCTAACGAAAATTTAGTCCACCTCTAAGATGAGTCTCCTTTCTAGGAAGTGGTGACATTGGGATTCTGTCCCTGTGGCATGACAATCAAGCATCTAATTATGACTATAACTGTTACAAAGAATTCCTGGACCAAGGAACTCTGAACACTCAAAAGGGCCCAGAAATTGTAGGCCATAGCGTGTATAGGATAAAATGAAGGAGTTCCAAATGTTTTATGAAAACCACAATTTATACTCTCCAAAAGTATGCCCCTTTGAGGGTGATGCAGCACACACTCACTATTGCAACCATCTGCGCAGTTCCACACGGTTTGCAAAAACACTTTTACTTCTGTCATCCTAGAAATCTTCATGTCAGATCTTTGGGGTAGGTAATTTTCATAGATCAAATTTTATCAATAAAATCACTGTGCATAGAAGGCTTATGCTTATTCCCCAGAGTCACTAAGGAATAAAACAATCAAGCCAGCTCAAGACCTTGCCAGCTCCCCAGATGGCTGACCTACGTCACTCCTGACAGAAGAGTCTTGTCACCCCGCTCTTTCCTTCTGTGTTTATTTGCATGACGTCATGCCATGGAGCTGGATGCATTTAAAAGCAGACCATGGCTTTTGACTTGTTCAGCAAACACAGCTACTTGGAGCAGACAGACAATACAGACAGGAAAAAGCTCTTGTTTATCCGAATGAAAGAAGTTGCTGCATACCCTGTGTCTTCTGTTAGCATGTTGCTTCTCTCCTGCTCTACTTTATACTTTTTCCCAGGATTTTCAGTAATGAAAATAATTTCACTTTCCTTGAAATTCTTTCTCATACAGATACCAACTTTCATCATTTCACTACAATTTCTTTTTGTTAGGCATCTTTCCACCTCTAATGCTCTCTGTCAAGCTATTAATGCCTCACATTCCATTTATATTTCTACTTTCTTGCACATGAACTCCATATAAAGGAATTGCAAGTATGTGATAGCATCTTCCATTTGTCGAGCAGCTATTGTCTGCTAAGCACTGTGGTAGCATTTGATGTAGTGTGCATTATCTCAGTTGTTGAGAAAACTCCACATGTATGACTCTTGTAGAGGAAAAAATTGAAGACAAGACTGAGTGTGAGAATTGAGTGGCAGAGGTGGCACTGAAGTGTAGACCGGTCTGGCTTTGAAGCCTATGATTTCTCTCTAGTAAAGATCGTATCAGTAAGAATGCTTATTGTATTATATATTGAAAGAAGGAATCTAGTAAAAATGCTTATTTTTTAGCTATACATTTTAATAGTCAGACCAGTCTATTTTATTTGGGTTTTAAAAGGCAATGTGGTTGTCTGAAGTGACAAAATTCAAATCTAATACAAATGCAGGGCTCCCACACCGTACTCCTTCCTAACCGAGGGAGGACTACTGTGTATAGCCCCCGCTTTTGCTCTTTCTCCACTGGACAACTCTCAAAGGAAAGAAAAATTCATATGATCATTGAGGTCTAGAAGTTAACTTTTATTTTAAATCTGTCAAATCCTGGCAGTTATTCATTTATTAAAATGATTACAATACAGCAAAATAAAGAAGAGGTAATTCTATTTTTCTACAATATAAATTATGAGTTAGATTCTCAGCTGCTGGCTCAGCATTGTTCAAGGTTCTTTTAAGGAACTAGGGAGACTTTAATTTCCAGAAGATGTTAAAGCAGCAAAAGAAAACAAAATAAATTAAAAGTCATTGCAAATTGCGGACACTGCCAAGGATGTACTAATTATAAAATCCTCTCCCTGTATTTTCAGGACAGACAGCAAGCTTTGGTGCTTTTAAAAAGTCCTATGAATAGCTATCCTGTAATGGCTTGTCATTACGTTTTATACATAGGACAAGTTTGCTGGTTTTCTTTTAAATGGCAAAAATCAATCATGACTAATTCATATAAAATATAACCAGCATTATTCATCTAAGTGAAATATGTTAAAACAAAAACATTTTTATTAAAATATTTAATACCATAATAACTTACAATAGTATGAAAAAAGAGTGAAGTATTTGTCCTAGTTTTCACTGGCATGCTCACATTTTGGTAAAATTTGTTTTCTAATGATTCCAAAGTTTTCCTCCTGGATCTCTAGCTACTTAAAATTGTAAACCAAAAGAACTCATACCTCCTCTGATCATACAGTCATAACTTACATATCTGGCTTTGCACATATTGTTACTGCAAAATGCAAATTAGAAAACAAAGTAAAATATGCACAAAATATTTTTATATCAAATTATCTTCATTACACTAAATAAACCCAATTCCCAAATGCTATGTTACATGAAAAATGTCCTACAATTTATATCAAGATTGATATAGTCCATATTTCAACCAGAGCAGCCTTTGGTTTTAAAAGCATTTTGCAAAATAAAGAAAAATGTCACCATATGGCTCTACTTTTCACTCTTATTCACACTCACAAAAAAATGTTTTCCAGTTTTAAAAAAATTACAAAACAGATTACATAGCCAGAAAAAAAATCCCACTGTAAGAGAGTCCAATCCTTCCTTACTTCTCTGATGCACACATACTCTGTTATATTTGGCATTTCCACTGTTTAAAATTTCAAGTCTTCCCAAGATGATTAGGAATTACTGTTTGAAAAAGATACTGTTCTCTCTTGATATTGATTGTTCCCACTCGATGATAGTCTAATTTAGAAACAAAATGTTCTTTCTCTTAAGGCATGATTTCATTTAATTTTTACTTAAATGTCTCACTTGGCCAAATCTAAAGGCTGCTCCATGTTTTGTTTTCCATATGTTTTAAATTTAAAAGTCAATTTTATGTGTATATAAGTGTATTCACAGAGATACATTTCCTTCATTGTCTTGTTCTCATTGCAATACAAATTGTCCATCAGCAATTGTAATTTTGAAATGAACCAAATAAAAAGCCTTTTTAGTCATTCCATATGAAAAAGTTTCCATCACAAAAAAATCACTGAACTCTAATACAAACAGGATTATGTTTTAAAACTAAACTATAGGTTTAGTTTCTACAGGCAAATTTTCAGATATTTATATAATAAAGTATTTTTGAAACATCAGCAGAACTTCAGGAAAAGAAAATTCAAATAAATTCTAAAGGGCAATGTGGTGTTTCCAGCAGTGCTTGAAAAAAAAGTTTTTCTGATTATTATGTATCCTTTGTGATTTCCAATTAGTTTGTAGGAATCACTACTAAATACGCAGGCATTTTGTGGATCGCCGCGCCTTTCATTTTGGAAGATAGTAACATCAGATATACAGGCATAGTATGTGCATAAAATTCGCTCAGTCACTCTGAAAAGCACATTGAACACTTTTCAATAAGGCTTTTTTTTAAGGGCCATCTCATCTGGGCTGAGCAGAATCCAAGTTTTAACATGTGAATTACTGAGCGTATTTCAAGGGCTTTCAACAAATCTGGTTTCAGTCCTGAAATGGTTAGATCCATCCGGTGATGCACACAGACTAATAAGCATAAGCACTGGCATTTTGAGGCGTAGCCGTCCCGCTAGGCCCACGTTGGAGCTGGTTTTCAGGAAGCAAGGCACTTACTGTAATGGGAATGCAGACGTTTTATGCATAGTTTGAGTAACATAAAATAAGTTAATATTTTTGATTAAAATGAGGTTTTTTTATAATTTATATGTCTTTTGTAGAAGCGACTAAATGTTATATTTAGGGTAATTAAAAATAAGAGGAGGCTTCAGCGGGAGCCAGCTGCCCTCTCCGAGGAATGCGGCGGAACACTGACGGTAAAGCATCCTCTGTGCGTCATCTAAAACGGCCTCGCCAGTGGCACTTTCACTGTCTTTACTTCCGCGATGTGAGACGACTTCTGGATGATGCAGCTGGTCGTTCCCTGCAGCTTGTCCTTGCCCTGTGCGAGGTTTGTTAAGGCCATGGCCGCGTTGATCTCCTTCCAGTACGTGTCATCTTTGCTGGGTCCCTTTCTGTGAGCTGCACTGGATTGAAGCAAAACAGAAAGAACGGGATCAAACTCCCTGTGGTTTGCGCCAGAAAGGGCGTCGCTGCATGGCACTCAGAGCAAATGAAAACGCTTTGCTCACCTGTCACCTTTACTGGATCCGTTCTCCAGAGCATCTGGAAAGAGAAGCAAAAATTCACTTAGTCCTCTCTTTTTCTTTCTTTCTTAATCTCAAGAGTTTCATCGTTTATTAACAGAAGTGAAAGAAACTGGTTGAAATTTAACTACTTTCTTTTTCTTTTTTCTTTTTTCTTTTTTTTTTTTTTTTGTTCCTCGAATGCCTTCAGGGCACTTTTGGCCAGCTGGAGAGGTGTGAGGTTCGAACTCCAGCAACCTGAGGCTGACAGCTTTGTGGAAGCAGCCACTTAAAGGCCTGAGCTAGGGCCAGGCCCCCAATAATGTTTTTTTTTTTGTTTTTGTTTTTGTTTTTGTTTACTTTCTTTCAAAGATGTAGTCTACTTTTTATATTAGGATGCAAAAAAAATTAACAAATATGATTTTGTTTTAGATTCCAATTTGCAAGATATTTGGTTTCCTGAATCTGCCTTGGCTGGTTTATCCTGCCAGCGCCATCATTTCCCTGAAAAATGAATGATTTCATTTTTCTTAATGGCTTAATAGTATTCCTCTTAATAGTATTCCTCTCCCTCTTTCAAAACAGATTTAAGTCACTAAGTTGTCCACGTTGGGCTTGAACTTAGGATCCTCCTCAGCTTCTCACAGTTCTGGGATTACAGGAGTGTGTCTCCAGGGCAGATTTCTGCTACATTTTTTTTAATGATCAAGCAATGTTATATGCATGCACAAATATGACAAAATAAAACCATCTATTCTATGTAACCAATATGCATTAAATTATTTAAAATGCATTAAATATCTATAAATTTTATAGGCATCATAGTAATATTTAATATGCAATATAATTTAATACACATTAAAATAAGTAAAAAAAAAGTAAGAGTAGGTAATAAAGACACACAAATATCTGAAGTCATGTTACTGTTTTAAATAAATAGACCTTTTCACTGAGAGGCCCAGGATAGGGAAAAGGTGGGTCCACACCTGGAGCCAGGTGTTGGTCCTGATGCACTCACTGTTCATGGGCCACATGGTGCTGTGCAGGTCACAATTCAAATTCTTCACCAATGAATTAAGAGGTTGCTACAGTACATGGACAGAGCCTCCGGCTCTGCATTCTGTGATTTCACTGGAATCAAGCCACAGGAAAGGACAGGCGAGTCGTTCTGCCAGCGGGAGAAGCCAAGCCCAAACCTCAGGCTCTGGGACCTGGAGCCCCCCCAGGAGTGCACTTGGAAGGGTGCAGTCTTGTATCTGCGTCCTCACCTCTGCTCTCATCTACCCCTCAGGACACTGGTGTTGCTAGCTCCACACAAGCAAGAAGAAAGGGGAAAATGGGTTCTGTGTCTGATTAAAGGAATCAGCTGTAGGGAGCCAAACATCGATATCCTGGAGAGGAGGATGTGTGAAGGGGGCTGCCGGCAAGATCAGGGATAAGAAGGGAGACACAGGGTACACACGGCCCAGGAGACGCTGAGCCCAGCTGGTGCTCAAACTGTCTTCACCATTGTCGCTGTGCCACCAGTGACCGCTCCTGAGCAGCCGCCAACAGGGCGCTGTGGTGCACAAGAGCAGCAAGTGCAGCGCGGCCTTTACCCCAGGCCTGTTCTCTTTCTGTGCCCTCCACCTCTCCTCTTCCTTTTCTCCTCCTCTTCCTCCTTCTCCTCTTCCCCTCCTCCTCTTCCTCTTCCTTCTCGCCCTCCTCCCCCCTCCTCCCCCTCCTCTTCCTCCTCCTCCACATTCTCCTCCTCCTCCTCCTCCTCCTCCTCCTCAGTATTTCTGAGGCCTTTTGTACAAGGTTCATTAGGCCATCCAGTGTCATGTCCACTTCTGAGCTGAAAGAGAGTCAACGACTGGCAGAAGCCTGCTGAGCCGCACACACCAACACAACCACAATACAGTCCAACCAGGGCTGTAACGCCCAGCACACACATAGCCTGAGCATCCATGAGCAGGTAGGCCAGGTTGCTGAGCTTCGATGCCGTCTGTGGAAAAAAAGAATCAAGAAAGCCTGACAAAAGACCCCGAGACAGAAATGGGCCACTGTGAGCTCTTCTCACAAACCATGGTCACCTGGGGGCCAAGGGAAATAGAACAAAAAAATAAATAAGTGAATAACAAGGAAACAATAAACTAAAAGCATGGCTGCTGTTGTGAAGAATAAGTGAGATCACATGTGTCTTGCCTAAAAAAGGAGCAGCGCAAGTGAGTTCTTCCAGTCTCCTCTCACAGGATACTCAGGTAGCATCTATAAGGTGTTGGGAATCCTTTAGGGGAAGCAGCCGGGTCTGTGAGCAGCTGGATGGTTACCTTTGGCAGCCCTGTCAGTTTCTGGGTCATCTGGCCTTGCACTGAATGCTTTGAGGATTACAAGATTACTCATGTAAGTGGAGGAAGGCAGACCTCTGGTGATTCTGATTTACAGATCCCTCACTGTGTGAGAGGCACTATATTCAAAGTTTTATGTTTCAACTTATTTGCTGTTAGTGACTTTGTACACAGATAGCATATTTTTGTGGTGACTGTGGAGAAGACATTCTTGTTCAGTCCTATCATCCAGAAAGCTTTCCTCAATAATGACAGGGACAAGGCAATCGTAGAACAAAGAACAAGCCATGTCCTCTTTTTGGATCAAGAAAGCCAGTACAGCTTTCTCAATTTTACCCACAAGTTGTACCAATTGTATTGCTGAAGTGAAGCAACGGGATAGGAGGATATTTATTCAGTGAGCAGATCTGGAAAAAGAAATATAAGGTTCACCAAAGCTTGCATAATATTAAGTCACTAAACCTAATTTAGATGTAACTGATTGCCAGAGTTCACAGAAGAAGCAGGCTCCAAAACAAGTACGAGGACTGCAGACTGATTTCCCTCTTGACCCATTAACCTGAGGACAGTTACCATGCAGAAAGATGCTTGTGCCTACAAATCCATAGTAGTACACAGAACACAGAAATGACATCAGGACCTGGATCCTACAGGTGCAAACCCCTGCTCTGGCCCATGCCACATTTTTTTCTTTTTTAAAAAATGTATTTAGGACAGGGTCTACAGGGTGTACAGGGTCTCACTACGTAGATGGGACTTGTAGTGATCCTCCTGTTTTCAGCCTCCAAAGTGCTGGGATTACAGGTGAGTGCCACCATGTCCAGTCTCAATGGCCCTCTCAGCGTGCCCGGGGGGTGAGGGCCAGCCCAGGGATGCCCAGGATCCAACTCCAGCCTTTGTACTCTGCCTAAACAGGTGCTTTAATCTGCTGAGCTATCTGGCTGGGCCCATGCTGAACTTTTGTTTCAGATGAGAAGCGAATGCAAGTGTTCGGCAGCCCTAGCAATGCCTGGGTACAGCTGACCCTTCCTATGCCCAACTCCTTGAACTTGTACCACTGAGAAATAGGTTCGCATAGCTAACTGTAAAATTATAAAATTCTGCTTTTTTTTTTCTTTCTTTTTCAGAACCTGGGATTGAACTCAGGCCCTTGTGCTTGCCAGGCAAGCACTTATTCTACTGAGCTACTTCCCCAGCCCCAAAATTCTGCTTATTTTGGGGCTGCATGTGTTTTATACTACAGTGTATATGAGAATACCTTTGAGGTATAAAAAGTCTCGACCCTCCTCCCCATTTGAGCATTCTTAGTTTCACAAATCTTAACCTGTATTCTATTGAATCTTTTTTTTTTTTTTTTAATTTGTGGTTCTGGGGATTGAACTCAGGACCTTGTGCTTGCCAGGAAGCCACTTATGCCATTGAGGTAGATCCCCAGCCCTTCAACTATGTTCAAAAGGCTGATTTTTATATTTTAGTTTAAGGCAGGTGAGCATATTCAATGGCATTAGTTGCATGGATTAGTTTCATTTCCAAGAACAGAAAAAAAAAATCTTCATAAAATGTAGTGAAGAGAAGCATCTTTTGTTGCTGTCAATAGCAAGTGCTGGAAGCATGAGTCAGAAAGCCTCGGCTCAAGTAGTTTCACACCAACAAGAAAAAGCTGACTAGAATCAACCTTGTCATGCTCCGTGTCTGGGATATTTTGGGTTCAAAAAATATATTGTTGGTGGATTGGCCAGCATCACTAGAATATTCTGCATCATGAGTCCTAAGGACAGCAGGCAGCCCCTTTCCTTCTAAAAAGGTTTTTTTTTTTTTTTTTTTTTTTTTTTTTTTTATTTTTTGTTTTAATTCTTTTTTTTGTGCTTGCCAGGGAAGCAAGAACTCTAACGACCTGATGATTTGGAGAAAATTCTATTTTTTCTGTTCTTAATGTGAAGAAGAAGTCTGGAGAGATGTCCTTGCTATTTTAAAAGGCTGATGTCACCTGAAGGAAACTCAGAACGTTCACAATTCGATCATTATATGAAATGGTGGTATTAAATGTTGTAATGCCTTTTTCTTATGCTCTTTTCCTTTGATGTAGGAACTCACTGGCTCCTTCTGCAGTTCAACTATTTTGTGTCCTTTCGGCCCATAGCCAATGTATAAGGAGCAGCAGGTCTGTTGTCCCCATCACTATGTGTCCTGGGGCTCAGGCCACTTTTGCCCACTCATGACAGGTGGTCTCCAGGCTCCCCTCCAGAAGTGGCACCCAGGAGCTCTAGAGACAAGTTGGCAGGAGAAAGAAGGGTACAGAAGCTGCTGAAACTCAGAAGGCATATGTAGGTCTGAGCTCGCTCCACCTATAGGCTGCTCTGTGGACTTCATTGGAACACATGGACTCGGGGTCAAGCTGCCCACATTCAACTCAGCTCTATCTCTTACTCTGTAAGTAGCTTGGCTCGGCCTCCCCAGAGTCCGAGCTCAAATGCCTTTTTAGACTCTAAAGTTCCCAAAACTGAGCTATGCTGTCAATTACCATAAAAGCAACTGGTTGGCAGGAACAATTTCTGAACTAGCCAAAAGAGCGTGTTTTAAGACCAAAGGAAAGAAAAGAAAGGGGAAAAAAAAGAGATACGTAGTTAAGAAAATCTTGAATGCTGTAAAACCCAAACCATGCTGAAACTTAGAAGTGGGGCTCTTTTCAGTTTGGACATGTGTTTCCTTA